CTATGATGCTGCTTGGCCTGCTGTGTTCATTCAGCTCTACACCTTGTTATCTTAAAGCAAATGCGCATCTGGCTCTGGGAGTGGTACATGAAAACACTAGAGAGCTATCTGAAGCTCTGCTCCCACACATGACACTACAGTGCAGTGACACACAGTGGCAGCAAACTTCCACCCTGATGATATAAAGAGTAGAGCATTCAGCTGCCTAAATACATACTGATCACAAGTAACAGATTATTAAAGAACATTGACCTTCAGCTTATTGCAGACAATTTACTATTAAAACTCAACTAGAGATAATTCTGCCCATTATAGCACAGTACTGATTTCTTTAAAAAAGTGATAACGCTTAAAATTCCTGGCTCAATATTTGCTTTTTTCTCTTTTGTGTGATGTATCTTGGAAAGGATGATCCCACCAATCACTTTGTGCTCAGATTTCCTTCAGAGTCAGCATGGTGTTGGCAGACAGTACAATCAGGCCAAGAAGTAAAAACCAACTTGCTTGTGGAACAGTGATGCTGCTCGAGCTGCCTCTGGTTCCAAAATACCAGGGCTGGTTGGAGGAAATCTGGCACTGATTTGGTATTCTATGAAACTAGGTTGTATTTTACCAGATCTGCAGCCACTGAGAGGAAATGTGTCGAGCACAGCATTTACTGAGCTGCAATATGTATGATGTGGGAGTGGAATCTCTTATTTACCCATCAGGAAGTCATCCCAGTCTCATGTTCAATATGAAATCATCAGCAATGATCAGCTCCGGACTCTCAGAGCAGAAATAGAACAGACAAGACTGGATCTTTCAAACATGTCACATTTGAAACATAACGGTATGTTGAATTAAACAGTGTTAGCTATAGAAAACAGCATTTGGATACTGATATAGAAATGTAAACATTACAAGTATGAATACATCAAACAGAATGGGCAGAAAGTTAAATAATGAGGAGACAGGTTCATAAATCTCATCCACAGCAGCCTGAGGGAACGAGGTGCGATGGACAACAATTATCCTGGGACAGATGTTCATTCTTTTAATGCAGGACACAGTCAGGCAAGTTTGAGTTCTGAAAAAGGATCACTGGACTTGAAATGTTAGTTCTTTTTCTTTCCACAGATGCTGCCAGACCTGCCGAGTTTCTCCAGCAACTTACGAGCCTCTTATTAAATACAATGACTGAAAAAGTAGTGTATGTTATACCCTTTGAGGTCTTCATTGTTTGTATAAATGTCACTGAGTGACAGATCATCACCTAATCAATGTTTAAAATGGAGCATGAGATTTCGGAGCTTGTGTCTTCACTCCGTTGTAAAACTGTGGTCTCAGTTGCCAATTGGATGCAAGAAAAAACTCAATGTAACAGTCTGAAAACACTCCAAGTTGCTGTTCCACATGGTAGAGGCACACTGACAATGTACTAGAATAGAGAGATCCTGGGACTTGACAGTGGAAGAAATTAATCACTTCTCCTCCAAAATCTCATTGATGGAGGAGAAGGTAGCTCCATGCTCAGCTGCTATACCCAAACATTAATCCAAAAGTGGAAACAAGTAATCCCTGACAAACAAAACATCACAAACACACATACAACATTAAAATAAGGCAGAAACCTGGAGATACAGAAAAGAGGCAGTGCAGCATAAATACCGTCCATGGCATAGCAAAGGCAAATGTGCCAATATGCTCCTCACCATCTTTACAGCTTTAACAAAAAATGTTTGCATCATCCCATTCCTTAAGAATATTAAATGCAGTGAAATTATGGCTACAAGACAAACTGTGGATCCAACACTGTTCATCTATAACTCATGTTAAATAGATACACTTAGTTTCTGAAATGGTTGATTGTGTCCATCCGCCAGCAGAGTACACAACAAATAGCCCATGGCATCCAGCAGAACAGGATAATCACTATAAAGCAAGTCAGACGCATTGGCACATCCACCCCATGTAACCACACTAACTGCAACAAGCTCACTATCAGAGTTGTTACTGGCGCAAGATGTCAGTTGGAGGACATAAGCTATCAGCTGTTGTTGCTGTTCAAGACTGTTCTTCATTCCAGTTCTTCACTCCACTGTCATCTGTTCAATGTGATCACAAAGCAACTGGTACTGCTCTGCAAAATTCAAATATACAACTCTGGTTAGACCAAAACTCCACTCATCAAACATGCCCTGGCTAGGTAGAGCTCAAAGTAAAGCTCTCTCTACATTGTCCCCATCAAGCACTCTCAGGATTAGTACAGCACAGTGTTAGGTAAAGAGTACTGCTACCTCTACCCTGTTTCCCAAACATGCACCAGCACAGGGAAAGTGTGGGGTTAGATCAAAGTAAATCGGACTCTACTCTTTTAAACTGAAAGTAAAATTCCCTCAACACTGTTCCCATCAAGCACACCCAGGACAGGTACAACAGGATTAGATACAGAGTAAAGCTCCCTCTGTATTTTCCACGATGCGGAGGTGCCAGTGTCAGACTAGGGTGGACAAAGTCAGAAGTCACCATTGGCCACTCAATTACCTGGAATTATCTTGCCATTATCTCTTCACCTATATATTCTGTGCCTGTGCACTTTCCTCCACTTCACCTGATGAAGCAGCAGTGCTCTGGAAGCTTGTGTTTTCAAATAAACCTGTTGGACTATAACCTGGTGTTGTGTGACTTCTGACTCAATATTTTCCAAATAACCCCATATTAGCATTCATCCCTTGTATACACCCTACATTTATAATTTCTCAGTCTTCGATCAGATTGCAAAGTTAACACTTTTAAATCAAATTAGAGTATAAATTTTGAGCAGTTGGATTCAGAGAAAAGAAACCTTCATCGCATCAAGCTGAACGGACTCTGCTTCCAAAGCTGGAATGAGAGCAGTGTTGTCACAGTTTGAATCAAACCATGCCTCAGGCCAATCCTGCCTTGTTCCTCTCACCTTGGTTCAGGTTCCCAATCACAGATTGCTTCTTCAGGAAGTCGCTGCACAGTGTCTTGCTTAGTCCAAAAGCTAACATGTTGTGTGTAAAAGTCCTGCAGCAAAAGAACAAAAACATACAGTCATACAGCATGGAAAAAGACCCTTTGGTCCAACTTATCCATGCCGACCAAATATCCTAAACTGACCTAGTCCCATTTGCCAGCGAGTGGCCCATATCCCTCTAAACCTTTCCTATTCAGATACCCGTCCAGATGCCTTTTAAATGTTGCAATTGTATCCACCTCCACCACTTCCTCTGACAGCTCATTCCAGATAGCCGCACATGCGTGAAAAAAGTTGCCCCTCAGATCCTTTTTAAATCTTTCCCCTCTCACCTTAAAACTATAATGTCTAGTTTTGGACTGCCCTACCCTGCGAAAAAAAAAGAGTTTAACTATTCATCCTATCCGTGCCCCTCACGATTTTATAAACCTCTATAAGGTCACCCCTCAGTCTCTGACCTTCCAGGAAAAATAACCCCAGCCTATTCAGCCTTTCCCTATAGCTCAAACCCTCCAACTTGGCAACATCCTCGATCAAAATAGTCTAAAGCAGCAGGGATTTACCTCCGGGTCTGATGTACAATCCTCCAGTCCCCACGATAATTGGCTATTTAATATCACTCCCCAGTATTGCCTCATGTTCATCCTCCCTGCACCCCCCAACTCCCACAGGCAGCTCTTACCCAAGTTGTCCAAAGGCAATATTCTCATTAAAGCGATGGCTGTCGTCACGCTCCTCTGCAGTCATGTGACACCATTTCTCCCTGTCAGGGCAGAATTAACATGTTAAATGTAACATGAAGCAGGTGTGCACGTGCATGTGTGCGTGTAAGGGAGAGACTGTACGAATGACAGTGGGTGTGCGAGACAGCGGGAGTGAGTGTGTGTGTGTGTGTGTGTGCATGCAAACAAGTGCGTGAGAGGGGTGGGGGTAGCAGGGCTGTGAAACAGCACAAATTCCCTCAAACAGCTCTCCTAGGGTTCAGTAATAAACCCACAGTGGGCAGGACGCTAATTAACCCTCTGCATCCACACAATTGCTGTTTTTCCTACTGATCAGAAAATCCAACTGCAAAACAGCTGAAGGAGCAGTGGATAAAGTGAGTGAGGACTTTGCCAGCAATATTTGAGAGTCAAGAGGAGTTAGAGAGCTCCGTCAGACCCCAAACCTTTACCTTAGTTTGCTCCTCAACCCTTATCGTGACCTCCTTTCCTATGACTAGGTGAGACCGACACCTGACCCGTCAAACCACAGCTTCCTTTCTTTGCTCCCTCCCTCCCTCCTTCCTGAGTGTCAGGCTCAGACTGCAGCCTTCTGTCACTGATAATCATTGGGTCAGTCTAGCCACTTGCCAGGTGAAACATGGAAAAGGAAAATAACAAGGTGTAATCATTGAACGCAACTGGACGGTCATGTACTCGAATTTCCAAATCCTTCCCAATAGCTGTCCCAATCTAGTCTGCCATTTGCCCACGCTGGGCTTTAAACAATAATATATTATTGACAGCTCCTGGGTCAAACTCGCCATTTAAGTCCTCTCAGTATTTGGGCAGGTATAGTGTCACTGGGCCATCCGTGGGAATTCCAGGCTTCATCACTGCCTGGTGCTCAGTGAACTGATTACAGTCACGGCAAGCCAGGAGGAGGAGGAGCAATTAATGTCCTATAGACCCATTGAGTGGCCTCCAGCAGTGCACCAAATACCACACACTCTCATACAGTGCACTAACACTCTGGAGCACAGCTCTGTTTCTCCAGCTTCCCCCAATGGTTACACATTCACACATTAGCTCCTTCTCCTGGCCCCTTTTACAAGTGAGAGAGAGGAAAGTACTACACCCAAGCGCTAAGTGTGAACATTAAGCCAGATCTGAGGATACTCTGTGGCGCAGTGGACTTGTTCCTACCTGTGGCCAGACAGTCTGGATTTTTGTCGTGGAGATGGTGTCAGACAGGTCAATTTAAAATTATTTTTAAAGCAGGGTCAGTCTCATACCTGGTTGTTGGTGATCTCTTCTTCCGCTCGCAGTGAACTGCATCAAAGAAGGCAGCATTCCAAAACCTCAGGGTGTGCCTGCCATGTAGCAGAGAACAGAGTCAGTCCACACAGGTCAAACTATTCACGTGTTACTGCCACAGGGATTGAAAGAGAAATTGACCATATCTTCTATATTGCCAGATGGTTTTGACAGGGCTATTTTTTCCATTGTCATTTCCAATGCCAGGTGGTCCATCTGAATTCATTAGATTCTTAATTCCAGGATTTGAACCCAAGACCCCAGAACACTACCTGGGTCTCAGGATTAATAATCAAGCAACAATACCACAGGGCCACTGCCTCACCCTGTTGTAAAATGTCCAGGTGAGATTTCCTTCCCTGATGCATTGCAGCTTAGCCTCCAGCTGTAACTCTCAGCCAAAGTTCCCCAAACTACTGAGATTTGCTGCAGACATGCATCCAGGGGCTGTTACCTCATGCAGTTACAACTGGAGATGGTTTTTGACTCAGTAGCGTAGAAACCACTCATTAGCACAGGGTCTGTGAAACATTAAACAGCCCTTCCCTTTCAGCCCCTGACTAACCTGTGCAATCCCACAAGAATCTTATTAATTGCATTTCTTAAAAACTGAGATGAAGAGATAGAGACCCGCACATCCAAAGCCACAAGAACAGGCAGCACTGTAAGCAGGGGTACCAAGTCCCTTTGATCCTTCTTTCCAGCCCCTTACCTCTGATTCTATCCCTTCATCTCATCCTATTACTTGTCATGTATTCACCATTCTGTCTGACTTTCCCCTCTCTGATGCTGAACAATCTTTGCTTATCAAAGAACTTAACTTCACCCCCTTATGCCACCACCTCAACGAATTCCAGGTGCAACATGATGCTGATCTCTTCCTCCATCGCCTTCACCCCCATATCCACTTCCTTTAAGAGAAGATCTCTCCCTGTGCCTGGACTCCCTCACCTACTTCTCATACTCTTCAACTTGGACCCTCTCCCTTTGGCCTATTGCCTACATTTTGATCTATTCATCAGGAAGTGCCAATGTGACATTGGCACCCTCATTTCTCTGCTCACTCCCCTGCTCTAACCTGTTTCCCTCTGAAATTGCTGCAATTTAGGTCCAACCCTGACCTTACTATCAAACCTGCTGTCGGGTGGCACCATTGTCACCTGGCTTGTGCATCCACCTAGACACTTCCTCTAATCTACGTCTAGTTCATGGTCTCATCCCTGGGCACCAGGCTGTTGTTTCCAGGACTGTCACAGACCTCATCTCCTCGAGACCTCTCCTCCACAACTTCCCACCTCACAGTCCACCAACCAAAAAACATCTGATAAAGTGTCACATAACAAGCTCATCATCAAAGGTAAACTAATGGAATAAAAAGCACAGTAACAGCATGAATGTGAAATTGAAAAAGAAAATGCTGGAGAAACTCAGCAGATCAGGCAGCATCTGTGTAGAGAGAAACAGAGTTAATGTTTCGAGCCCCAAAAAGTTATGACTCTTCTTCAGAACTGAGAAGGGCTGGAATATGGTGTTGAAAGAGGCAGGGAAAGACAGAGTCTGGAACAACTGATCTGAGATGAACTTTGCCTTAATTTTTAGCTTTTGTTCTTATCCAGGACTTATGTCACTAATGCAGGCACCGTGGTATAGCGACTTATAAAAATTTTCACCGTATTTATTGTAAAAATACAAAACAATAAATTGCTATTCTATTCTATTCAAATGAGGTGACAGTACTCAGAGCAAATAACAAAGGGAGTGCTAAAGGAGTAAAGAAAATATAGAGATGTTAAATAGGTGCAAATCATAGATACAAACAGGAGAAAACAGGTGCTGTTTTGGTGGGGAAGATGGTTATAATCAAATTGAAGCACAGAGCTCATGCTCTGAACTTACTAAGTAATAAAGAAGGTAAAAGCACAAGGGATCTGGGGGTAACTTTCCAATTGGATCCAAAATTAGCCTAGCAGTGGGAGACAGAGGGGTCCATTATAGTTTGTTTCATATATATATGAACAATATAGAAGAAAATGTTGGGGAATGATAAGTAAGTTTGCAGATGATGTGAAGATCGGCTGGGTAGTTGACAGTGAGGAAGAAGGTCTTAGGTTACAGGAGGATATAGACAGATTGGTCAGATGGGCAGATCAGTGGCAGATGGAATTTAACCCCACTAAGCATCAGGTAATGCACTTTGAAAGAAGTAACAAGACAATGGAGTGCTCAATGAATGGTGGTAGACTTGAAAGCTCAGAGGAACAGAGGGCCCTTGGGGTGTTTGTTCACAGATCACTAGAGATGGCAGAACGGGTTAATAGGGTAGCGAAGGAGTCACACGGGACACTTACCTTTAATCAATTGTGACATAGATCATAAGAGCAGGGATGTCATATTGGAGCTTTACAAAACTTTAATTAGGCCACAGGTGCAGTACTGTGTGCAGTTCTGGACACCGCACTGTAGGAAGGACATGACCGCACTGGAGAGGGTGCAGAAAAGATTCACCAGGATGTTGCTGGGGTTGGGGTAGTTTTGCTATAAGAAAGGCCAGATAATCTTGGGTTGTCTTCTTTAGAGCAGAGAAGGTTGAGAAGGTACCTGATAGGGATTTGTAAGATTATTGGGTGAACATTTGACTTGGTAGAGGTGTACAAAATGATCAGAGGTATAGATAGAGTGGACAGCCAGGGACTTCTTCCTAGGGTAGAGGCAGCTATTACGAGGGGGAATAGTTTTAAAGTGAGTGGAGGTAGATATAGGGGAGACGTCAGAGGTAGGTTCTTTACTCAGAGAGTGGTCGGGGCGTGGAATGCATTGCCGGAGAGGGTAGTGGAGTCGACCTCATTAGGGGCATTTAAGCGGCTATTAGGTAGGCATATGGATGATAGTATAAATGTAGGGGTGGAGGTTAGACTGACCTTAGGATTAGGGTAAAAGTTTGGCACAACATCGTGGGATGAAGGGCCTGTACTGTGCTGTACTGTTCTATGTTCTATGTTTTCTAACATGGAGGGTGAACAGAAAGCAGCTGTTCCCTTTAGTTGAAGGGTCAATAACAAAGAGGCATAATTTTAAGGTGGAAAGTAGGAGGTTTGTTTGGGGTTTGAGGAATTCTTTTTCATTCAAGAGGATGGCGGAGGTCTGGAATGCATTGCCTCGGAAGGTAATTAAGGCAGGAAACTTCACAACCTTTAGAAAAGTACTTGGATGAACACTTGACCTGTCACAACATTCAAGGTTATGGACAAAGTGCTGGAATGTAGGACTTGTGAAGATTTAGAGTAATTTTTTGTCAGTGCAAATGTAATGGGCTGAAGGGCTTCTCCGGCACTGTCTGATTCGATGATGCAATGATTCTGAGTCCCGAAGGCTGTAAAGCACCTCAGCAAAAAGTTATTTGTTGCTCCTCCAGCTTCTGCGATAGCAGGCCCAGGACAGAAATGTTAGCACGAGAGTAAGGTGGTTTATTGAAATGGCAAGCAGCTGGAGGGTCAGTTGGTTGAATGACAGGGAACTGAGAGTGGCATTGAATGGTTATTTTTCAGACAGTATGACTTGGAATTGAACAACTGACCTCTGACTCTGGGTCAGAGGTCTGGTCTGGATTTAGGGGGAGGCGATGGCTTAGTGGTATTATCGCTGGACTGTTAATCCAGAGATCCAGGTGATGTTCTGGAGACCCAGGTTCAAATCCCAGGTTGAACTCAATAAATATCTGGAATTAAGAGTCTAATGATGACCAGTTGTTGGAAAAACCCATCTGATTCACTAATGTCCTTTAGGGAAGGAAACTGCCATCCATACCTGGTCTGGCCTACATGTGAATCCAGACCCAGAGCAATGTGGTTGACTCATAACTGCCCTCTGGGTAATTAGGGATGGACAATAAATGCTGCCTAGCCAGCAACGCCCTCATCCTGTGAATGAATAAAGGAAAAAAAAGATTCAACACTATGCCCAGAATAGAACCATCACTGGGTGTAGCTCTCAAACAGTGAATGACAATCAACTACAACCCTCAGGTAGGACTGAGCACTCATTTACAAAGTGCTTTTCACATCTCCACCACAGCCCAAAGTGTGTCAAGTCATGAGTTAGGATAAGGTGCCACATCCAGCAAGGAGATATGTAATAGTTCACCTGTCATAAAATATTGATGAAAACAAAACATTCTTTGAATACTGTATACAGAATCACAGTAGAAGGCCACTTGGCCCATCATTACCATCTGCCATACTCCTACACATTATTTCCGTCTTAGTAATCATCCATATACTTTTGAATGCCTCAGCTGAAATACCTCCACTGCATATCCAGGCAGTGCATTCCAGACCAATCGCTTGCTGTGTGAGAAAGATTTTCTCAACTCACAATTGCCTCATTTACACAGCTCTAAGTCTGTGCCCTGTGCTTCTCAATTTGTTTATGAATAGGAGCAGTTTATCCCCATCTATTCTATCCAGGCTCCTCACAATACTGAAAACTTCTGTTAAACAGAAACATACATACATTATATTTTAAAAAGATACTGCAATACTCCCTCAGCACTGACCCTCCGACAGTGCAGCGCTCCCTCAGCACTGACCCTCCGACAGTGCGGTGCTCCCTCAGCACTGACTCTCTGATGACACGCCACTCCCTCAGTGCTGTCCTCTCTCTAATCTCCCAGTACTACAAAATTAGGTGTTGTGCTGAGAAGTGTGGAGTGTAATATGCATATACAACATGCAGTATACTGTCAGATTGTCACTGCAGAGACTCTTATTCTCACCTTTTAAATCAGGAATTTACTGAAACATTAGGAAAGAAAATTACCAGATAGGCTGCAGCTTCAGGTGTGTGTACAGGTATATTTTTTCCCCTTTCCTCTCCTCCAAACATTCCATTTTCACTGAGGGCAGGAAAAACAAAAACACATCATTACTTTCTGCTGTACTCTTCATTAAAGACGCAGGTAAAAAGATAAGAAATACGAGTAGGCCATTCAGCCCCTCCAGCATGCTCCACCTTTCAAGAAGATGGCTGATCTTATACATACAGCTTTGCATTGTAGGCCATGAATCTTAGCATCAATCTGACATGATATGCAAGTTGTATTCATATAGCATTATTAATGAAATGAAACATCCTCAGCCTCTTCAAGAGGCTGATAAAGCAAAGCATTTGTTATTCATGCAGATTGCCAAAAACATGGTTAAAGGCCTACATCTTAAATACACAACGGCCAAAAATCCACAGCTCACAGCAATAAAAACTGCTGATTGCAAACATAACAGGAGAAGGCCACTCGGCTCCTCAAGCCTGTTCTAGCATTCAATAAGGTCATGGCTGATCTGATTTCTTCACGATTCCACTTACCCTGCAATAACTTTTCACCATCTTATCTATCAAGAATCTAACTTTGCTTTAAAAATATTTAACAATTCTGCTTTCACCACCTTTTCAGGAAGTGAGTTCAAAGTCTCACAACCCTCAGTCAGAAAAATCCCCTAAACGGGACATGTTATCAGGGCTAGACCTCCTCCTTTTTCGTTTTGTCTCTCTTAACAAAGAAGTCACATATCCTGAATCTTATCTCCACAATATCTATTAGGTCATCCCATTAATTTCAATCTAGGTTATTAAGTCATCTATTTTGTCCCAAACAAAATATACCTTTAGCTTTATAATTTCCCCTCCACTTTCCCCGATGTTTCCCTCATCACTAATGCATCATTATGCGTTAAGCTCTCTGTCATTCCCTGGTCCACTTTGCTGGTTTTCACCCAAATCGTTACTGCTCTATATCCAGCCTCAGCAATTCTGAGATTTCTTTTGAATGTACCCTTCCTGAATTCTCCCAAACTAAGCCCCTCCTCACTTCATCAGTTTAAAATCCTTCCTCCTGCCCCAGTGAACCTTGCCAGTTTAGATGAAACCATTCCAGGTGCAGTTTCCTATTTCACCAGTTCTGGCCCCAAGGCCCCTTAAATCAAAATCCCTACTACTCCAATTTTTCTAACAACAACAGAATTCTTTTTTAGCCAGAAGAGCTTCTTTTGACCCTGACACCAAGGAGGCAATGCAAGCTTGGCACCTGTAATTCACAACTATACAATGAACTGTATCTATTCTCTAGTGATAGTGCACATTATTACTGCCCTTTCCATCCATCCATTTGAATGGGCTCCCTTCCAGAGTGACATGGAAATGTGCCCCACGCCCTGCAAACTTTGTCCAGAACCACACAGGAAGCAAGAACCTTGTATCTGTTGACAGTCAACATCAGTACTTACCCCTAGGCAGCCCTAATATCATAATGACACAGCATAGGAGCTCATTCAGCCCAATACATCTGTGCAAGCTCTATGAAAGAACTATCTCCTCTCAGCCCTGCAAATCTTTCCTGTTTGAGGATTAGGTATCCAGTTCTCGTGAAAGTTGTTGTTAAATCTGCTTCCATTGCTTTAAGGCATGTTCCAGCTCACAACATACTGTGTAACCAAAGCTAATCTCCTCTTCCTGAAATTGTTTTTCTAATAACCCTAATGTGTCCCCAGTTATCAACTCTCCTGTCACTGGAAACAGTTTACTTTTTCTATCAAAACTACTAAATTTTGATGGTCTCAGTTAAATTGTTCCCTAATCCTTTCAGTAGAGGCTCCTGAGTCTGGAATTGTTGGTTGGTTTGCTGAGCTGACTGGTTTTCACGCAAACGTTTCATCTCCCTTCTAGGTGACATTGTCGAAGGACTGTTGTTCTCTCACTCTGAATTTGTATGGTCCGGTCTATCATGTTTCCAGTTTTGTACCAGAGTGGTATGTAGATGGGGTCTATTTCAACATGTTTGTTTATCGCATCGGTGGTTGAAAACCAGGCTTCCAGGAATTCTCATGCTTGTCTTTGCCTTGCTTTGGCCTAGTACTGTAACTTTGTCCCAGTTAAACTGATATCCTTATATGTTGGAGTGTACTGAAATGAGGACGAGTTAGTCATGCCGTTTTGCTGCAAGTTGGTGGTCATGTATCCTGGTGGCGAGTTTCCTGCCTGTCTGTCCTATGTAGTGTTTCTCGCAGTTGCTGCCTGGTATTTTGTATATCACATTTGTCCTGCTCATTGTGGTTATAGGGTCTTTTGTCTTTGAGAGTAACTGGCGAAGTGTGGTTGTTGGTTTGTGTGCTATCCTTATTCCAAGAGGTTGTAGGAGTCTTGTAGTCAGTTCTGTTGTGTTTCTAACATAGGGTAGGGTGGCCAGTGTGTTGGGGTGTACAGCATTTTCTTGGTGTTGTTTATTTGCCAGGCATCAGCAGACAAAGCTGTCAGGATAATTCTTGTTTACAAAGACTCCGTACAGGTGTACCTCTTCGTTTTTTTGTCCGCCGATGCCTGGCAAAGTTAGGGAGCTTGCCATCATCATCCCTTTGTCTGCGGTATGTTTGCATGGTTTACAAGTCATCTACTGTGAGTGCAATCTTGTGGGCTAACAAACAAACCACACTATTGTGTGTCACAGATCATACACCTGAACTAAAGCAGCTGAACCTGGAACTTGAAGCACTTTAAGAGACAATCCTCATGGAAGCCACTTACCATTCTCACTGGACTTCTCCCGAGTCTGGTTTTGCGTGTCTCTAGAACATAAGAAGTAAACAAGTAACTTAGTGGCCATGCCCCTGAAACTCCCCTCTCACCATTTACCCCACAGGAGCATTAAAATAACAATCAGCTGTCAGCAACCTTGTTCAGCTCCCAAGGTCAGATATCCTGCTTATGGTTGTGAACATACTTGGAGCAGACATGGACACATCTTCCACAGGGCAGAAATTTAATAGGTACTGGAAAAATTCCTCTCAGTTCCATTCCCAATTAACCTGAAACAGTGCCCTTCTTGCACCCAGTAAAATCCCATAAGAGGCAGAGACTGACAGGTTGTATCTGAAAGAGAGCGCTGTGACAATGTAGCACACGTGCCAACACACAGGCACAGATTAATGTTGGAGCTATGGAATCAGAACTTTCACTTAAAGCCAAGTGTCTGAAGAACTGAGCATAGCTGATGTAGTGGCTATGCAAAATACAAATGCATGGCGGAGGACATATCATACATCAATGTTCTGGGGTAACTTCCATTTCAATTTCAGATGAGCTATGATTTTAATATCACTCTAATCAAACACATTACATTGGAAACACATTCCAGCTGCAATGTCATTGCGGGGATATACAAAGGGATTGGGGCCACGTTTGCTCCTCAGTGCCTTGGAAGAATGAAAAATACTCACTCATTCTTCAGCTTCAGCTTCTTCTCCAGACCCCCAAAGAAACCCTTCACATTTTCAGTGTTTTTCAGTAATAATGCAGCGAGATCTCGTTTCTCTGTCAGCCAGCTGTTGGCTGCTTTCACACTGGAGTCATCTTCTTTTGCCTTCAGGTTTGACACATTTGGATAGGATTTGCCTGGACAGCAGAAAGACAAGGCTTACCATACACAGCTACTGAAAGGACTGGGCAGTGTTAGGCTGGGTGAGAATCATAGAATTCCTAAAGTGCAGAAAGAGGCCATTCGGCCCATTGTGTTTGCACCGACTGCCTGGACAGTATCCCACCAGATCCAGTCCCCTACCCTATCCCTGTAACCCCACATTTCCCATGTCCAATCCACCTAGCCTGCACATCCCTGGATACTATGGGCAATTTAGCATGGCCAATCCACTTAACCTGCACACCTTTGGACTGTGGGAGGAAACTGGAGCACCCAGAAGAAACCCACGCAGACATGGGGAGGACATGCAAATGTGACACAATCATCCAAGGCTGGGCTCAAAGCTGAGTCCCTGGCACCAACCCTAACCTTATCATTGTGAAGCAGCAGTGCTAGCGACTGAGCCATTGTGCCACCTCTCTTCCTGATCTCACTGATCAGCGCCTGGTCCATGGCCTTGCAAGTTCCAACATTTCAGGTTCCTGTTGAGTAAGTGGAGGGTTTCCACCTCAACCCTGAAAGTGGGCAGAGACCTGGATAAGAAGAATTTCTGAAGAAGGGTCTAGGCCTGAAACGTCAGCCTTCCTGCTCCTCTGATGCTGCTTGGTCTGCTGTGTTCATCCAGCTCTACACCTTGTTATCGCAGATTCTCCAGCATCTGCAGTTCCTACTATCTCAGAGACCTGGACAGTTCCTTTATACACATTTATCCAACCATTTCTGAAAGTTACAACTAAATTCGCTTCCACTGCACTTTCAAGCAGGACAATCCAGATCATAATGACTTACTGTGTAAAAGAAATCTCAGTCGCGTAAAGTAGGCATGCTCTGGTTAATGACTCACTTCTCAGGGACTTAGTTAGTCTTGGTTCAAAGCATTTGAACTCTTCTGTTAAATTTCTCCTAAATCTTCTCTGGCCTAAGAACAATCCCAGGTTCTCCATATAACTAAACATCCACAGCATTATTCCAGATAATCTCACATGTTCTCTCTCCAAGGCATTGTCATCCTTCCTAAAGCCAGTCCCCAGAATTGGACACTATCATCTCTCTGGAGTCCAACCAGAGTGTTATAGACACTTAGCATAACTGCCTTGTTTAAACAATTTGTGTCTTTGTTTATAAAGCCAGGATTCCTACATACGTTTTTAACAGTTTTCTCAACTTGTCTTGCAACTTGAAAATTTGTAAACAGAGAACACCATTGAGAAATACCAGGGGACAAAAAACATTTGTGAGGGTGGTAAATAGACCACAAAACTATGTTAATTATGTCGGGAATGGCATTAAACAGGAAATCAGAGATGTGTGTGGTAAGTGAACATCCATAATTATGGGGGACTTTAATCACATCTAGATTGGTTGAATCAAATTAGTCATAATACCATAGAAGAGGAATTCCTAGAGTGTACATAGGATGGTTTTCTGGATCAATACGTTGAGGAACCAGTTAGAGAAGAGGCCATCCTAGACTGACTACTATGTAATGAGAAGAGAATAATTGGTAATTGTAGTTGAGAGAGCGCCCTTGGGAATGAGCAACAACAATATGATAGAATACCTCATCAAGATGGAGAGTGAGGTAGTTGATTCTGAGACTAGGGTCCTGAGTCTTATTAAGGGAACCTATGATATGATGAAGTGTAAGTTAGCTATGATGACTTGGGAAATATTATTGACAGTGGATAGGCAATGGCAAACATTCGACGAGCAAACAAGAAAACGACAAAGATTGCTTATTCCTGTCAGGGGCAAGACTGCAAAGAAACAGTGGCTGAACCATAGCTTACCAGGGAAGTTCAAGGCAGCGTTAAATGCAAAATAGAGGCATACAAATTGGCAACAAAATTGGGAAACCTGAGAATTGGGAACAGTTTAGAAGTCAGCAATGGAGGACGAAGGGATTAAGAAGAGGAAAATACTGTATGAAAGTAAGCTTTCAGGGAATGCAAGAACTGGCTGTAGCAGTTTCTATAGACCTGTAAAGAGAAAAAGACTGGTGAAAACTAACATAGGTACCTTATGGTCAAAAAAGCTGGAGTTTCTAACAGAGAACAAAGAAATGGCTGATAAAAATTAAATTCATACTTCACTTCTGTGTTCACAAAGGATGAACACAAATAACATACCAGAAATGATGGGGAACACAGGGTTTAGTAACAGGGAGGAAATGAAGCAAATCTGACTTAGTAGAGAAATGGCGTTGTGTAAATTGATGGGATTGAAGGCTGATAAATCCTCAGGTCCTGATGGCCCCCACCCGGAGTACTTAAGGAAGTGGCCCTAGAAATAGTGAATATATTGGTGGTCATCTTCTAAGATTTCTTATATTCTGGAGCAGTTCCTACAGATTGGAGGGTAGCTAATGTAACCCCACTATTTAAAATGGGAGTTAGAGAGGAAATAGGGAATTATAGACCAGTGAGTCTGACATTAGTAGTGGGGAAGATGTTTAGAGTCCATTAGCAGGGTTTTTATAGCAGAGCACCTAGAAAACATTTGCATACATACTTAACACTACACACTAAACAACTGCATCTCCCAGTCGCGAACCATTTCAATTCCCCCTCCCATTCCTCAGACGACATGTCCATCCTGGGCCTCCTGCAGTGCCACAACAATGCCACCCGAAGGTTTCAGGAACAGCAACTCATTCTGCTTGGGAACCCTGCAGCCCAATGGTATCAATGTAGACTTCACAAGCTTCAAAATCTCCCCTCCGCCTACCACATCCCAGCTCGTCCCCGCCTCCCTAACCTGTCCTTCCTCCCACCTCAAGCCCCATCCCCATCTCCTACCTACTAACCCCATCCTGCCCCCTTGACCTATCCGTCCTCCCTGGACTGACATATCTCCTCCCTAACTCCCCACCTATACTCACCTTTACTGGCTCCATCCCCGCCTCTTTGACCTGTCTGTCTCCTCTCCACCTATCCTCTCCTCTATCCATCGTCTATCCGCCTCCCCCTCTCTCCCTATTTATTTCAGAACCCCCTTCCACTACCCCATTTCTGAAGAAGGGTCTAGGCCCGAAACGTCAGCGTTCCTGCTCCTCTGATGCTGCTTGGCCTGCTGTGTTCATCCAGCTCTACACCTTGTTATCGTGTTACTAACATCGGTGTGATCCGACAGGAACTGCTGTTTCCACTCACCTACGTAATAGAAGGTGAAGCACATGGTCATTAGATTCTTGGCAGGACCAAAATCATCCATTTGGTGGCACCTGTAATGACAGCACCAGAACCTGGACCATATTCACATAATTTACAAAAGATTTATACATCCCATGTACCACATAAGAAGTATTCCCATACATATAGAAGCAAAAAAAATCAGAACAGGTTCAAAAATTCAAATATTGGAGGACAATATCTGCAGATGAAAAATGCAATAAAGAAGTAAGAATAAAGACAGTGATGGGAAAGACTGCAGTTTGTAAGAAGAGACACTAGCCATTTGGAAATCTCAACAAGTAACTCAGGAAATTAAAAACTGAAAGAACTGTGGATGCTGTAAATCAGGAACAAAAACAGATGTTGCTGGAAAAGCTCAGCAGGTCTGGCAGCATCTGTGAAGAAAAAATCAGAGTTAACGTTTCGGGTCCAGTGACCCTTCCTCAGAACTGATTGAAGCTGGGAAAACATCAGTTTATATGCAGAAGAAAGGGAGGGGGATGGGGTAGGGAGTAAATGATAGATAGAGCCTAAACAGAGAGAAGAGCAGTTGGATAGACAAAGGAGTTGATAACAATCTGGCTAGGAGGGTGAATAGTTGTTAATGGGGACTGTTAGTGACTAACAGGGGGTGTGTAATGGCAGGCGATGTAATAACAAGGCGTGGTGTGTGGGGTAGGGGGCTAGGACATAGGAGAGTTAGACCCTAAAATGAACTCAATATTGAGTCCAGAGGGCTGCAGGGTCCCCAGGCAGAAAATGAGGTGTTGTTCTTCCAGCTTGCATTGAGCTTCGCTGGAACACTGCAGCAAGCTAAATATCGAGATGTTGGCCAGGGAACAGGGCGGTGTGTTAAACAGGCAGGCAACAGGTAGCTCAGGGTCTTTCTCGCGAGCAGAACGTAGATGTTGTGTGAAGCAGTCACCCAGCCCACGCTTCGCTTCCCCAATGTAGAGGAGACCACATTGTGAGCAGCGACTGCAGTAGACTAGATTCTGGGAAGAGCAGGTGAAGTGCTGCTTCACCTGGAAGGTATGTTTGGGCCCTTGGATACTGGGGAGGAAGGACGTAAATGGGCAGGAGTTGCACCTTTGCTGGTTACAGGGGAAGGCGCCGTGGGGTCCAGGGAGCAGGGACCAGCATGTCCCAGAGGGAACGATCCCTTTGGAAGGTGGACAAGAGAGGGGAGGCAAATAAGTGTCTGGTGGTGGCATCTCACTGGAGGTGGCGGAAAAGGTGTCTGATGATCTTCTGGACGTGGATGCTGGTGGGACTTTATTTAGTATTTAACTCAGGAAATTATTTCTGATTTGTGCAGAACTGAGAGTTGGACCTTATGGCAGGTAGAGATCAACTTACTAAAGAGCATTGAAATGTGGGTTTGGAGGAAAATGGAAAGAATCGATTGGACAGAAATTGTAACAAGTGAAGGAATGCTGCGGAGAGTAACTAAAGAAATTTGCTGAACATAATTCAGAACAGACAGAGTGAGGGTAGGACTCACTTGTTAAGAAGAAAAAAATTAGAGAGAAATGTTATGAAAGACAGACTTCCTGGAAAAAGAGGAAGGAAGGGAATATCAATGCTGAAAATTGAAAAAAGTTATTGGCAAATGAAGGACAGACATGACAGACGATGAGTCAAAGGTCTGCCTTTTGGCAGAGCAGACGTGATGATACCAAATCTTTAAAAACACTGGATCAGTTCCAGCTGGAGTATTGTGTCCAGTTCTGGGCACTACACTTTAGGAGGATGTGAAGCATTATGAGAGTGCAGAAAAGATTCATGAGAATGTTTCCATGGAGAAAAGACTTCAGTTACATGGATAGCCTGGAGAGGTTAGTTCTGTTCTCTTTAGAGAAAGTTGAGAGGAGATTTGATTGAGAATGTGTTTCACTGCAGAATACAGACTGCTCACAAGTGGCATTTCTGAACCTGGCAGAACCACAGAGTCACTCAGTATGACTGCAGCCCCACAACTTATTTAAAACTTGACTACAGTTTTGGTTAGACTTGGTAAATAGAAAGAGAATGCCCATGGCCTGCATAGAAGTAGTAAAAGCAATACTCACTCAAACAGAACAACAGCAAAAGACTGTACCAATCGGTAGAAAGCATACTCAGAGATACATTTGGAATGGCACCGCTGCAGTGAGAAAAAAAGAACTTCCTCTCAGTAAATAATCACAGGGTTTTATTATAGTGTTCAAGTTGCACAATTCTGTACATCATACGTTTTACATTAGCCCAGGGAGAAGGTTCGTCTGACAGTTATCCAGTTTGTCTCTGCAGAGACGTTGCCTAATCTGTTGAGTTTTGCCTTTCACAAGCACCAGATGCTTTACCGACCATGAATTCCAAAGTTTGGGCATTATTGAAAGAAGGGCACAAATTCGACTGGGACAACATATCCATAATAGCAGCAGCCAAAGAGAGCCATGCCAGGGAATTCCTGGAGGCCTGGTATTCTAACCGGAACTCCATCAACAAACACGTTGAACTGGACCCAATAAACAAACCTCTGAAAAACAGAACTGGAAGTGATGCCAACCACCCCAGCAAACCGAGGCACATAAATAACAAGTGGGACAGAACATAACACTTCACCGGAGGCACACTGACGACGTTAACTAGCAGGGTGAAACATTTACAAGCAAACCGACCAGCTCAGCAAGCAAGTCTACAACCTCAACCTGCTCAGCGTTGGCCCAACTTTCGGTTGCTATTGCCAGTTATCACTGTCAACGCTCAGAGCAAATGAAGTACAATGCCCATGAGTACACCACCTTTATATTGCCAGTGTTGCAATACTAGAGTCGGCTACGAGAGGCCATCAGTCAGCCATCGTAATTCACAAACAGAGTTGAGTCACTAGACTTGAAATGTTGACTCTGCTTTCTTCCCATGGATGCTGCCAAACCTGTTGAATTTCTCTAGCAATTTCTGATTTTGTTTCAGATCTCCAGCATCTGCAGTTCTTTGTTTTATTTTAATAATAATCTCACAGCCTGCACTGTAGGAAAAGGCCATTAAGCCCAACCAATCCACATCATCCATTAACTTCCCTGCATCCATCATGGGGAAACAGCCCCATGTGGCCTATCGAGTCCACTCCTCAAATTCTATGAGATCATAGCTGATCTGATAATCCTCAACTCCACTTTCCCGCCTTTTCCCCAAATCCCCTGGTTCCTTTATCGATTAAAAATCTGCTTATCTCAGCCTTAAAAATACTTAATGTCGTAGCCTTGACATCCCATTGCAGTGAACAAGTCTACAGATTCAGCACCAGAGATGAAATTCCTCCTATTCTCCTTAAATGGGCAACCCCTTACTTTGTGTTTATACCGTCTGGTCCCAGACTCTCCCAGAAGAGGAAACAACCTTTCCACATCTACCCTTTCAAGTCTCCTAAGAATGTTATTTCAATAAGAATAAATGGGGATCTGACTAAAACATTCTAACACGGCTCAACAGACTAGAAACAAGGAAGATGGTTTCCTTGGTGAAGGAGTCTAGAACCAGGCTCAGTGTTAGCATTTGGGGTAGGCTTAAGATGAAGCAAGATTTCAGCACTCGAAGGATAGTGAACCTGTGGAATTCTCTACCATAGACGGCTGTGGAGACCAAGTCACTGAATATATTGACAAAATATATAAATACATTTTCAGATTTGAAAGGCATCATGGGGTATGGAGAGAAAGCAGGAATACGGCTTTGAGGCAAAGGATCAGCCATGATCATATTGAATGGTAGAGCAGGTTCAAGGGATCGAATGGCGTAATCCTGCTCCTATTTTCCATGTAATAAGGTCACCTCTCATTCTGCTAAACTCCAACGAGTACATATCCAACCTACTCATAAGACAGTCACACCATTCCCAGGATCAGCCTGGCAAACCTTCTCTGGACTGTCTCTAATGCAAATGTATCTTTTTTTAGATATGGGGCCGAAAACAGTTCATGGTATTCCAGCTGTGGTCTGACCAGTGCCTTGTGTAGTTTGAGCAAGACTTCCCCCTATTTTCATACTCCATTCTGTTTGAAATAAAGGCCACTATCCCACTTCCATTCCCTAATATCCAGTGAACTTGGATGCTAATTTTGTGTGATTTATTTTTGTGATCCTCTGTTCTGTAGCTTTCTGCAGTCTTTCTTCATTTCAGTAATATTCATTTTTTTCACCCTGCCAAAGCACATAACCTCACATTTTCCCACAGTTATATTGCATCAGTCAGGTTTTTGCTCACTCTTGTAGACTCTATGAGTCAGCTGCACAATTTGCATTCCCACCTATTTTCACAAATTTGGTAATAATACATTCAAGTTTCTATGAGATCGCCCCCTCATTCTTCTAAATTCCACTGAATATAGTTTTAACCAATTCATTCTCTTGCCTGCCATCCTAGGAATCTGTCTGGTAAACCTTCTTGGCACTCCCTCAATAGCTAGAACATCCTTCCTCAGACAGGAGACCAAAACTGCACCCAATACTCAAACAGTGGTCCTACCAGGGCCCTGTACAGCTGCAATAAGACATTCCTGCGCCTGTACTCGAATCAGGCCACCATACCATTTGACCTCTTCACCGCCTGCTGCGCCTGTACGTTTCAGTGACTGATGCACAAGGACACTCAGGTCTCATCGCATCAGCCCCTTTCTCAATCTATCACCAATCAGATAATAATGCACCTGCCTGTTTTTGCTACCAAAGTGGATAACCTCACATTTATTACTTCCACTGAATTCAAAGAATGCTAATAAATTTGTCAGGCATGATTTCCTCTTCACAAAGCCATGCTGACTCTGCTTGATGATATTATAGTATCTAAATGCTCTGCTATTACATCCTTTATCACAGAGCAGGGGACACAGTTTAAAAATCACAGGTCTCCCATTTAAGATGGAGATGAAGAGGAAATTTTCTCTTAGATGGTCATGTGCCTTTGAAACTGTCTGGGCTGAGAACATGGAGGCAGGGTCATTGAATATTTTTAAGGTTGAGGTGGATAGAATCTTGTAAAGCAAACTTGTGAAAGATTATAAATGTAAGCAGGAACATAGAGTTACCAGATCAACCTTGACCTTGTTGAATGGTGGAGCAGACCAGAGGGACAGAGTGCTCCTAATCTGTATGTTCATATAATTAAATTCACATGGAGTTGAACAATTTTAGATCATAACTTATGCTCAAATTTTGCTTTTTCTTTGCTGATTATTTTTCTCTGTTGATTATTTTTCTCTATTGTTTCTCTTTTCTATTTTCCATTGTCAGTGATTCAAGATCCTGCTTTTCACACTTCTACACACGTGTTCATTTTTTTCTAAATCTTGTCCCATTACCACTCCCCCTGGCTCTGACTCGTCAATCTCTCCTGCCTTCCACCCGACCTTCTCTTTTATTATTTTTTTTAAATTTCCCTCTATCCTCCCTTTTCACCTTACTAAAACTTACATTTCTACCTTTTTCTAGTTCTGATGAAAATCACAGCTCTGAGATATTAACCATGTTTCTTTGTCCACAGATGTACCAGATCTGTTGAGTAAACCTGCACAGTCTGTTTTCATTTTAAATCAAGTGATTGAAGAGGATATTGGACACATAGAACAGAGTATCAAAAAGTGGTTAGTTATGGCTACAACCTATATTTCAGGAAGGCAAATGGCCAACACTTATTCCAGTGTACGTTCAGTTACCACTTGCAGTGGCTTCAGAATAGATCACCTGCCCCAGAGGTGATTACTCAGTCCCAGCTACTCCACCCAGAGGCTACACAATCACCCAAAAATCACCCAATTAGCAATTTTGCACGTTGCCGCAGCCTTGTTCACACCTGGGCACTAACGTATTTTGCAAACCACTCTCTGCCTTGGCTGTTTTCTTCAGAACAGAGCTCCCCGAATCGAGCTTTCTCCTCCTGGTCAATTTCTTGCCTGCAACATGAGAATGAGACAAAATTAGACAATGTTTTCCCTCAAAATTGAGACAATTCCCCTGTTCACTCCTCCATTCTGGTCCCTCGCACCACATTTCACACTCCTATGTCTTGCTGGAAACTTGACTGACACCATAATAAATTGGAAGTGGGGATATTTGCTGACAATTGCATAAGGTACAGCATCATTTGCAATCCCACAGATACTGAAGCAGTATGAGTCCAAATGTACAAATGGACAATTTCCAGGTTTGGGCTGACAATTAGCAAAAAACTTTTGTGGCACATAAATGCCAGGCAATGGCTAACTTCAACAAGAGAGAATCTAACCATCATCTCCTGACATTCAAAGCATTTACCATCACTGTCAACCCATTATCAACATCCTGAGGATCACCACCGACCAGAAACTGAACTGGACTCGCCATATAAATACTGTGGTTACACAAGGAGATCAGAGGCTAGGAATCGTGCATCAAGAAACTCACCTCCTGACTCCTCAAAGCCTGTCCATCATCTACAAGGCACAAGTCAGGAGTGTGATGGAATACTCCCCACTTGCCTGGATGAGTGCAGCTCCAGCAAAATTCAAGACGCTTGACATCAGCCAGGACAAAGCAGCCCACTTGATTACTTCTACATTTCGCACTGGTGAGATGTATGTGTAATGGGAGCCATTTACAATAGGCTTGTCTGACAAGCAGCCCTTGGATAACAGAGCTGCCAAGGAGTCCTATCCTTCATCATCAAGAGTTCCAAATACAAGACACAGAAGTGGAAAATTCTGAAAGGAGATGCTGTCCAATTACATGCTGCTTCTCTCCTGCATTTGCAGCTGACAGACTGCCTGGTGAACACATCAGCAGCAAGTGCAGGAGAGAAACAGACTCTGATTGGAAGAGCCAGCCACAGTGCAAATGGAAATAGCTTTGTTGAACCAAAGGCTGTACATTAGAAGCAGCTAAGGCAAGAGTGCTTCAAGGGACAGACTGCAATAAGCAGGATGATTGTTCCATGGACACAGCAGGGAAGAAGCTCTGAGCCAGGGGAAGTCGAGCCTCTCTCCTTCTAATACAGGTGCCTCTCTGCTGGAGGAGGCAGTCAAAAGGCAGTGAATAATGCCTGGAGCCAAAGCAGGTAAGTAAATGAAGGAGAGTGGCATGAGTGAAAAAGATAGCACAGAAAGGAAAATGGCAAGAAAGGCTGGGTACAAGTGCGGGGTGGGGGTAGGGAAGGGTGTAGAGACAAGTACAGAGAGAGGAGTATGGAGAGAGGGAGGGGTGAGAGAAGATGGGAAGGGAGGAATGGGGACAGGAGTGGGACAGGAACAAAGTAAAAGCAAAGGAAAAAGATAGAAAGAGGAAGTGACAGGGAGGGAAGGAATGAGAGGGAGCGAGGAAGTGAAAGGAAGGGTGAAAGGGAATGAAAGGGAAAGTATGAGGGACTGAGAAGGAGGGTGCAAAGGAGTGAGACAGAGAGTGTGAAGGATAGAGGGCATGAAGGAGGGAGTGAGTAAAAGAGAGGGTGCTATCCCTCTGTTCATTGTATTCCGACATAGTTTGTATCATCAACAAACAATATGTAATAATATGTTACGCACTGTCTCTTTATCCAAGTCATTCACATACATTGCAAATAGCGGAGGCTCCGGTACTGATTCTTACGTCATTTCACTACTCAATGCCTGCCAACTTGAAAATGCCTAATTTGTCCCTACATTCTGTATCCAATCCTTTATCCATGATAATGTATTATCCCGAATGGGCCCTTATCTTAGGTAGTCACCTTCTATGTGGCATTTTACGTTTTAGAAATCCAAGAATATTACATCCACTGATTCTCCTTTATCTACCCTACCAGTTACATTCTTGAACAATTCTAATAATCTTGTCAAAGAACACTTCCTTTTTGTAAAACCATGATGACTTATTCTAATTACAATATGCTTTTCCAAGTGCATTGTTAGACTTCCATAATAACAAACTCCATCACTTAACTGATACTGATGTCAAGCTAACTGGCTAGCAGACCTCTGTTTACTCCCTCCCTCCTGCTTGGAATAGTGGTGTTACATTCACAAAATAACAGGAATAAAGAAAACAATGACATTAAAAAGTGATAAATACCCAGACCAAATGGTTTCCATCCAAGGATTTTGAAAGGAATAGGCAAGGGCATAGTAGATGCCCTAAATATGATCTTCCAAAGTTCTCCCCATTCCTTTAGATTGAGAAATTGGCATATTCAAGAAAGGGAAGTGTGACAAACCAGGGAATTCTGGACCAGCTAGCCGAGCATATGGTGTCGCAAAATTACTGGAGGCGGTATTTAAGGATGGAATGACTGAACATCTTGAACATTTTCAGCTGATCAGAAAAATCAGGTTGAATTTATAAAGGGTAAACTTCAAAACGTTATGACACTGGCTGTGAAATACTACAAATGTTCTGAGGTCATGATACAAAAGTACATTTTTTAACCCTTCTTCCAAACTAACCGACTGAGCATTCGTTGTTAAGTAAATCAATGAATGGATGTTAATGAGAAATCAAGGGACCAGACACTGTCCTGGAAACAGTGCAAAGAAATCAATGAATTTTACCCAGAGTTTTCACAGGACCAAAGCAAGCCAGTGATCAAAGAATAGGAGGATTGGAGTGAACATACAAAGCTCTAGTACTCCAGGACCCAGAATTGGATCATTTCCATTCACTTCGCTTTTTTAAAATTCATTCACAGAATGTGGGCATCGCTGGCTGAACCAGCATTTATTGCCCATCCCTAATTGTCCAGAGAATAGTTAAGAATCACCCACAAGAATATGCAGTCACATGTTGGTCAGGCCAGGTAAGGACATCAGTTTTCTTCCCTAAAGGACATTAGTGAACCACATGGGTTTTTAATGACAATTGACAATGATTTCATGATCATCATTACAATGTTAATTCCGATATTTGGTTGAATTTGAATTCAACCATCTACCAAAGTAGGATTCAAACATGAGCCCTCAGAACGTTACTTGAGTCTCTGGATTAGTAATCTAGCAATAATAACACCGGGCCATCGACTCCTCTTTGTGAAAATAATATAGGGCAAACTGACCTGTTGATATTCTAAACTAACACACCCAAAGATATAGAGGAAAATCGACTGAGGTTACTTATTGCGGGCGACCTTTTTATTATTAATTACCATCTAGCTGACATTTTTCTTGGTAATTTTTTTCCCATCCTGTCTCCTGGGATGTAATACAGAAACTGTATAAAACACTGGTTAGGCCACAGCTGAGATGCTGAGTACAATCTCATCACTCTACTACAGGAAAGACATAATTGTTCAGTAAGGAGATTTGTGAGAATATTGCGATGATTTGAAAATTGCAAGTATGAGGGAAGACTGACAGATGGATTGACTAGGGTTTCCTCAGAACACAAGAAGCAGCTGACGGTGACTTAGTCACGATGTACAAACCTAATGAGGGGTTTGGACAGGGAATACCTGCTTCCCTTGGCAAAGAAGTCAATTACCAGGGAACATGGATTTCGGGTGATTCGTAGAAGGGTTAAAGGAAACACAAGGAAAATCTTTTTCATCAAGAGGGTTATGGGTGTCTGGAATTCACTGTCCAGTTTGATGCTTGATGTTTGATGTTTAAAAGTGAGAGGTGGTTCATTTTGGAAGGACAAACTTGAAAGCAGAATACAGGGTTAACGGAAAGATTCTTCGCAGCGTGGAGGAGCAGAGGGATCTCGGGGTTCATGTCCACAGTTCCCTGAAAGCTGCTACCCAGATGGATAGAATTGTTAAGAAGGCGTATGGTGTGTTAGCTTTCATTAATAGAGGGATTGAGTTCAAGAGCCGTGAAGTTATGCTCCAGCTATACAAAAGCCTGGTTCATCCACATCTGGAGTATTGTGTCAAGTTCTGGTCGCCTCATTACAGGAAAGACGTGGAAGCGTTGGAAAAGGTGCAGAGGAGATTTACCAGGATGTTGCCTGGAATGGAGGGAAGGTCTTACGAGGAAAGGTTGGGAGAGCCAGGGCTTTTCTCCTTAGAATGACGAAGGATGAGAGGTGACTTGATAGAAATGTACAAAATGATCAGAGGTATAGACAGAGTGGACAGCCAGAGACTTTTTCTTAGGGTGGAGGTAGCTATTACAAGGGGGCAAAGTTTTAAAGTGAGTGGAGGTAGATATAGGTTCTTTACTCAGAAAGCGGTAGGGTCGTGGCATGCATTGCCGGAGAGGGTAGTGGAGTTGCCCTCATTAGGGGCATTTAAGCGGCTATTAGATAGGCATATGGATGATAGTATAAGGTAGGAGTGGAGGTTAGATAGACCTCAGGTTTAGGGTAAAAGTTCGGCACAACATCATGGGCCAAAGGGCCTGTACTGTGCTGTGCTGTACTGTTCTATGTTCTATGTTCTAAACCCTCAACTTATTCCAAAGGAACCTGGATCTTCATCAGAAGAGCTGTAGTCTGTTAGGCTACAGACCAGGGCAGGAAAGTGGAATCAGTCTGGGTGGTTAGTTTCTTTTAAAAGCTGGTGCAGACAAGATGGGCTGCATGTCCTTTTTCTGTGTGGTTACATTGCTATGTTTCTTTTTCCAGGATAAATTTCATTAGCTATCAATAGTTCATCCAAGTAACCATCTTCAATGCGTCAGACTAAGCAGTGAGCATCAGCAAACTACCTTATCATTTGTACACAGCCAGCAACAGTCAACAGATAGTCAATCTCCAGAAATTTCTACTTTTACATCAGGAGCACTGTCTGATTTTCCTAAATTGGCTAAGGTCAGCTCTTTTACAGGCTAAATCAAACCTGGCATTTGCTGGTTTCAAAGTTTCAGCTACACTGAGCTTTTGGAGGAGATAATAATACATTTTTAATTATGAATTGGGTGAGGTTTTGAATTATTAAAGCCATTGCAGTGGCCAACACCCGAAAAAGGAAAACGCTGGATGCTACAAACAGCCAAATTCAGCTCCCATTCTATGCTTACCTTCCACTGAAGATTTTCTCAACATATCTCCTCATGAATTCTCGGCATTCTAATGCTGTCTCATCATCCAACACTGAGTTTGCACTCTGACGTGAAGAAAATGATTCATTTGATGAGGCTCTCCTGGAAGAGTCCCAGTTTGTGTTTGTTGGTGAATCCTCCAGATCATTGTCACTGTCAGCAGAGTCAGTGTCATCACTCTCGGTCCTGCCTGTCCTTTTGCTGTGACCATTGCCAATGACTTTGGTCAAACAAAGTGACTCATCCTTGATCATATCAGAATCAAGACCTTCAAGATTACCAAGGGGAACATCCTGGGTACCCATTCTGTCCGAGAAGGAACAACACTACGATTGCAGGCTTTATATAAAGTTCAGAATGGTTCCGGTCGTCTGTTATTCCATCCAGCAGTATGGACCCCCATTGTACATTAGCCTGCAACCATGCGATTATCTGCAGCTGAACAAAATCACACATAGTTAAATTGGAGAAAATGGTTTGTATCTGTATGCAGATACTCTGTTTTCTGCATCTAGTGTTAAGACATTTATCTCCATGAAATTAAACACTTCCTATTTCAAAAATCCACAGCAGTACAATATGGCTTAGTTACAAGGTAAAGCTCCCTCTATACTATCCCCATCAAATACTCCTAAGACAGGGTCAGCACTGGGTTAGATACAGAGTAAAGCTCGCTCTACACTGACCTCATCAAACACTGCCAGTTTAGATACAGAGAAAGGCTCTCATGACAATGCGACAACTTTAGATGAACTATGTTTAGCTTAGTCCTGCATGCTCATCTCCACAAGGAACAGGAGAAGGAGGCCATTAGGCCCAAAGTATCTAAGCCAATTCTCTACTTCAGCAACTTAACCAGTTCCTAGAAAGGTCAAGGGCAGAGTCTATTTAAAAACAGAATGTACTGGAGAAACTCAGTAGGTCTGGCAGCATCTATGGAGAGAGTTCTGAGTCCAGAGTCCAAAATTACTTTTCTAAAGGGTCTATTTAATTGAAACCAAGAAAGAAAAGATGTACCATCACAGCTGAGTATAGATGAAGAAACTTTCAAGGAAATTAGTCAGAAGTGCAAAAAAGGAGTCATTATAATGGAGGACTTGAATTATCCTAATATAGACCAGGGTTGTAATGGTATAAAGAGTGAAGAGGGACAAGGCTTTCTGAACTATTAAGGAGAATTTTCTACATCCATACATTACCAGTCCATAAGGAAGGTGGCACTACTGGAATAAAAGCAGAAAATTCTGGATGAACTCAGCAGGTCTGCTCAACAGGTCTGGCAGCATCTGTCCAGCCCTGAGTTTCTCGAGTACTTTCTGTTTTATTCCAGATCTCCAGCACCCACAGTACTTTGGTTTTATTTAAGGCACTGCTGCACCCAGTTATGGGGAATGAGGTGGAACAAGTACAACAAGTGTCAGTGGGGATCATTAAGAGGGCAGTGATCATTGTATCATAATGTTTAGATTAACTTTGAGAAAGGACAAGAGGCAATTCGGAGTACCAATTAGTGCAGCAGCAATGGATCTACATCTTGTTTGAATTGTTCTCTTTCCTTTCTATTTCCTCTCCTCATTCATCCTGCCAAAATTAAGATTTTACACTTCTCTGCATTCTTTGGTTAGGCAATAGCCTAGTGGTTCTAATCACTAGATCATTAACCAAGAGATCCAGGTAATATTCTGGGAACCTGGATTCAAATCCCGCCATGGTAGCTGGTGGAATTTGAATTGAATAATAATCGATCTGCCATCCTTGCCTGATCTGGCCCATATGTAACTCCAGACCCACAACAATGTGGTTGACTCTTAACTGCCCACTTGGCAATTAGAGATGGGCAATAAATACTGGTCCAGCCCGTGACACCTTAGCCCCGTGAATGAATAAGAAAAAAAAATTCTTCTGCCATGTGTGCCTGCACTCCATCGGCTTGTCTGTATTATGTTCTCTTGAAGACAATCACAATTCTCCCCACAGTTCACATATACTTCCAAGTTTCTCTAGATCACTGATATAAAAACTTGGATCTTAGGAAACCCCAAAATAAGGCTTCCTCCAATCAGAAAACAACCACTCAACACAATTCTCTGTTTCCTGTCACTCAGCCAACTTCGTTTCCAGGCTGCCCTTCAATTCCTAATAAGACTACTATACATGGCACTTGATCAAATACATCTTGGAAGTCAGTCTACAGCTCAACCATGCCACCCATTTTAACCCTTTCAGTTACCTTAACAAAAAAACTTAATCAAGTTAGTTAAAACAATTTGCCTTTGCTGAATCAATGCTGGTTTTCCTAAATTAAATCAAGACTTGAACAAGGGTTCGCAATTCTTCACTCTTCTGGTATCTCCCCATGTCAAAGGAGGATTAGAAAAACATGCCCACAAATTCCATGCTTATTTCTCTTGGTATCATCAGATGTACCCACCAAGTCTTGGTAACTTATCAACTTTAAATAGAGTCAGGCATTCTAATAGCTCCAATGTTAGGCTAACTGCCTATAAAAACCCTGTTTGCTCTCCCTCTCTTGAAAAGTGGTGTTACATTTGCCAACTTCCAAACATTTGCCGTTCCCAAATCTAAGGGATTTAGGAAGATCATAGCCACAGTGAGAGTGGGAATTCTAGCTATTTTTTATGAGCTATCGTGTTTTAATCTCTTAAATTTCTCCATTCCTTTTTCTCTAATGATATTAATTACATTCATTTCCTCCCTCTTCGTAGCCCTGGGTTACACTGTATGAAGTAACATGTTTCCTCTACAGTTAAGTCAAAGACGAAATAATTGTTCAATACCTAAGCCATTTCCTCATTCTCTGCTGGTAATTTCTGTCTCTGTTTTTAAGGAACAAATGTTTACTTTAGCAAATATCTTGAAGCACCTGGGGAAATTTCACAATGTCACAAGTGCTTTACAAGTGTACACTCTTGTCATATTGGACAGATAAGTGCTAAAGGATGATTCTTTGAAATTGGTGAGAACAGAGTGGCACCAAGAGGTAGCCTTTGGCTACATTCCCAATTGTGATGTAGGGATACCGAAGAATGGAACTTAACCCAAAATGACTCAGTGATTCTGTAATGCTCAGATATGTAACCTTGTTTAGTCTGCTGGACTGTTTCATACCCACAAGGAGGTGGAAAAACCATACTCACCTATTGATGTTGTTTATTCAACAAAACTTTTGATCTTTGTAAATATTGTTCTTGCCCTAAATGCAAACTTGCGTGGCTCTTAAATGAAAGTAAAGGGATGAATCAAATAACTCCACTATCCTTGAATCACCAGAGGGCATCTGGCAAAGTGTTACATATGTGGACTCTCCAAGCTTTGTCCATTTTTATTTATTCAGTTTAGCTCTTTCACAACTGCCAGAGTGATGCAATTTTCTAACTCTCCATAACTGGTCGCAATTGAAATAAAAGCACAAGAATTCTGAAAATCTGACATAATGTCAGTCAGTGATGCTTACTATTTGCAAGAGTAAAGTTTGCTGGTGACTGAAGTGTATACACTGATACTCAGTCTGAGGAATCACTAATTGGTTTTCTAAAGTGATGAGTTACAGAGATGAAAATTGGCTGCGCAGACACACTGGAAGGTTGATTTCATGTTGGAAGATCTATGGTTGCAGGATACAGTTCCAGATGCATAATTATAGCAGCTGTATTCATAGAATTCCTACAGTGTGGAAGCAGGTCATTCGAGTCCACATCGACCCTCTGAACAGCATCCCACCCAGACTCATACCCCTACCCTATCCCTGTAACTCTGCATTTCCCATGGTTAATCCAACTAACCTACACATCCCTGGACTGTGGGAGGAAACTGGATCACCCAGAGAAAACCCACGCAGACACGGGGAGAGTGTGCAAACTTCACACAGATAGTTGCCCGAAGGTGAAACTAAACCCGGGTTCCTGGCGTTGTGAGGCAGCAGTGCTAAGCCCTGCGCTTTTGTGCGGCCCTTTCTGCAGAAAGATTTGCAACCTCTGAATCAACTATGGGTTCAAAATGCTACCTTGTTATTTCTGAAGTTCGATTCTGAAATACAACGGTCTACAACACCTATTTGAGATTTGTCCTCCCAGGGACATTGCAGTGCTTTGCATTCAGTGTATGAACATTCAGCAAGATCAGTTCCTAATGCACTCCTCCAGTTGAAAAACACTTTTTAAAAAATTTATTACTTGTGGAACTTTGGCATCGCTGGCTGGTTAGCTTTTCTTGCCCAGATGCAAGCCCACATTTAAAGTCAGCCCATTTAACAGTATTTTGCTTTAACGTCAGTAAGTTAATAGGACCTGTAGTCTCACAGAGTTCTGAGATTCACTTGAACAGTGTTTCCCAAGTGACTGGCACTGACCTCTCTTAACTCTGTGCGTGGAGGGCTGTTGTAGGTTGCAACAGGACATTGACAGGATGCAGAACTGGGCAAAGAAGTGGCAGATGGAATTCAACCCAGAAAAGTGTGAAGTGATTCATTTTGGAAGGTCGAATTTAATGCAGAATACAAGGTTAATGGCAGGATTCTCAGCAGTGTGGAGGAACAGAGGGATCTTGGGGTCCACGTCCATAGATCCCTCAAAGTTGCTACCCAAGTTGATAGGGTTGTAAAGAAGGCGTATGGTGTGTTGGCTTTCATTGGCAGGGGAATTGAGTTTAAGAGCCACGAGGTTATGCTGCAGTTCTATAAAACTCTGGTTAGACCACACTTGGAATATTGTATTCAGTTCTGGTCCCTCATTATAGAAAAGATGTGGAAGCTTTAGAGAGGGTGCAAAGGAGATTTACCAGCATGCTGCCTGGACTGGAGGGCAGGTCTTATGAGGGAAGGTTGAGGGACCTAGGGCTTTTTTCATTGGAGTGAAGGATGAGAGGTGACTTGATAGAGATTTACAAGATGGTGAGGCATAGATAGACTGGAAAGTCAGAGACTTTTTCCCCAGGGTGGAAATGACTATTTCGAGGGGCATAATTTTAAGGTGATTGGAGGAAGGTATAGGGGAGATGTCAGAGGTAGGTTCTTCACACAGAGAGTGGTGGGTGTGTGGAATGCGCTGCCAGCAGTGGTAGTGGAGTCAGATACTTTAGAGACTTTTAAGCAACTCTTGGATCAGCATATGGAGGATAGTAAAATGTAGGGTATGCAGGGTAGATTGATCTTAGAGAAGGTAATAGGTCGGCACAACATTGTGGGCCGAAGGGCCTGTACTGTGCTGTACTGTTCTATGTCCTATGTCCTTGACGATATTCCTTATGCCATGCCTTCCGAGGTGCGCAGTTCTCCCGCCTAGGGTGGAGCCTGAGGCATTGCTGTGCGAGGTCAGCTCTATACTCCAGACTACTTATTTGAGCTGCCACTTGCTCCAGGCCATGTTGTAGTCACAGCCTAACAAGATCTTTATGTCTGCTTCAGAAAAGTGGCACCTAGA